GAAATATCCGAAGAAATGGAAAAATCTGGTGAGTACATTTTATATTTTATTTTATGATAAACAGATAAGTATTGTCTTAAAATCAATTGTTATTTTGACAAAAATAGTTTTTGAGTGTATCCCTGATGTTGTGAGCTCTCGTTGCGCTTCTGTTTTCACCTGCAGTCATGAATCGGTTTCTGTTTTCATTTTGTAATTGTGGTAATTCCGTAGGCAAATCGTGAAACCCTCCTTATCAATAATTATGTTATGAAGTAAACATATGCACTTTACTATAACATCTGCACGGTTGGGATTTACTTCAATTGCTTTCAACAACAATCTCCATTTACTACTCAGAATGCCAAAGGCACACTCAACAACCTGTCTTGCATTTGATAAGCGTTTATTAAATATTTCCTTTTCGGAATTCCAAATTTCTTTGAGGATAGGGGCGCATGAGCTATGTCTTCAGAGGGTAAGCTTCGTCACCAACTAAGAAATGAGGCAAAGCTGTATCAGTTCCTGGTAATACTTTTTCCTGGTTTGTGTTGAGAGCACCATTTTCCAATAGTCTTGAGAGGTTTGAATGTGAAAATATTCCACCGTCACTTTCTTTGCCATAGGCTCCCACATCTATAGCAATAAATCTGTAGTTTGCATTCACAACAGCTTGCAATACAATTGAAAAAAAGGACTTGTAATTTCGGTACATACTACCAGAATGTTTTGGCGCGTTTATTCGTATATGTTTTCCATCAATGCTACCAGAACAATTAGGAAACCGCCATTTTCTCCAAAAGTCGTTATTTATATTGACCATATCTGCACGTGATGGAAATTTCATATGAATTTCATTAAGATTTTCCCAAATAGAGTTACAAGTGTCATGTACGATATAACCAACAGTATTGTTTGAAATCCTAAATGTATATCCAAGTGATCTGAATGATGAGCCAGTGGCTAAGTACCTGTAATAATAAGAGATTTATTTATTATTTATTTTCAGTTGACGAGTTAAAAAAAAATGGCGGGGACTACGAGACACTTTCGGGAAGGAACTAAAAAAACTCAACAATAAAAAATCTGGCCAAGCAGCCAATGCAGAACAATTCTCCAAGTGGCCTTATTTTCAGCTTTTGATGTTCCTCCAAAGTACAATGTCCAGAAGGGATCTCCAAGGTAACGTGCCAGATACATATGAGAGTTCGGATGGGGAGGATAGTGTTAATACAAATTTAAGTTCTAACTACACACCTTCGCCATTACCTGGTCCATCTTCTGAACAAAGTGACCAAGAAATTCCAAAGCATTTTAAATCTCCATTGAAAAAAAAAGCTAAAAGAAGTCAGCCACAGGAAATCGATGCAAAACTATTGGAAATTGAAGGGGAGAAATTACAGTACTTTAAAAAAAGTGCGAATGATCCTGATGCACAGTTCCTAATGAGTCTCCTCCCATTTTTAAAAGACATACCTAAACATCGTAAGTTAATTGTACGTTCAAGACTACAACAAGTACTTATTGATGAACAGAATGCTCATGCTTCATCTGTGGTACAGAAAGAAAGTTCTACTGATTTGGCTCAGTTCAGTGATGAATTAAATATGTCACCAAATACTTCGACACTAGGACAATCGCAACAACATTTTTTAATGTCACAACAACCATCAGCTGTTACTCACTATGTTATGCAATTCAATCCTGACTCAAATATTTAATGTACGACTGTCTTCATTTGAATAAAGAATTATTATATAAAAATATATCGAAAAAGCATTTTTTTACTTTCTTACCTTAAAGTGACAATTAATCGTTCTTCAGGTGATATTGTGTCGCGAAAGTTGCTGTATTTAGTCAGGTTAGGTCGTATTGCATTAAGAATGTACTCAAAAGTATCTCGCCCCATGCGTGTATAACCATAAAACAGTCTGGGGTCGTTATACAAATCTTTCATAATGTGATGAAATTCACCGAACTCATCTCTTTTTAAAAATATTTCGCGCACCCATTCGGTTCTACGATAACGACGACGGCGTCGCAATCTACGGTTTAGAAGATGATTGTCCAAAAGATAAAGATTATTCATTGCAGCAAAGATGACTTCACGTATGCGCTAACACCGGTGTACTGTCTATTTGACGGAGAAAAACGTATTCAGTGTGCGCACTCAATTCGTACGAACAGTGTTCACACGTTTACGCACGATCTAATTCGTATCCAAAGTGAGCGTAGCCTTAAATATCATTATTGATGATTTAAGTATAGTTTTTTTATGGCCTTCTGCCCTTATTAGATATTATATAGTAGTTCATGTAAGTGAAGTCATAATCTCGCGGCCGCTGCGTGCACGTGGTGTGACATGGGGTCACCCACGCCCGATTCTTCGAGTCTTCAACTTCACCGATGGGCTCAAGTACCCATGAGCTCCTTCCGCCTGCGTGCTTCCTGCTGAGGACTGCGGCGTCAGCCCGTAGACCCCTACCATCAGGGTGCAGCTTGCTGTGACGTCAAGTCCTGAGGCATCACCGCCATCGTCGCTTCGCCCAACGAGTGAACGTGGTACCACCAGTGATATGTGTCAAACCGTGAGCTCACGTAGTTTCCTCTTTTGTTTTTTTCGCGAGTGCACGCGGGTCATTCCCCATCGCCACGTGTCCCATCTGGACTTTAATGACTTTTAGGGGTCAATATATTATTACATACCATCATCGGTAGTATATTTTAAGAACAATTGTTTCGCTGCGGGCCGCCGCCATGTAATCCGCGAGAGTAATTAATATAAATTGCATGTATCAAAACCGCCATCTTTGATTTGAATTCCCACGCTACGGTCTTTGTATTCCAATAGTTCATTGCTGTAACCGAGAGTTTTATCCCGGTACCTTATCAGCTGGGTATTAGCTGAAATAACACTTGCTCGTATGAAAGGAGGTTCCGTACCATCAAATAGTAAGTAAAATATAATAATATAAATATAGTAAAATATTTCCATTCCATTCATCTTCTCTTTTACATACAACGTACTGAACCGATTATAAATTCCATTTTCCCTCTTTTACATACGACAAATTATATGCCATATCGTACTATACAACCAGATATACGACAAAGCCTGCCGATCCATCCTGCGCTTGCACTTACTCACATACTTGAGCCACCTCAAAACGGTTTACGCGGGTAGGAGGACTTGCAGTTGCAAATAGTCGACTCGTCTTACTTCGTTGTCATTGTGCGCTCCCTGTCACTTGATTGATTTTTATCTAACACGCTTTGGACATTGGAACACAATTATCGGTTATGTCAATTAGTATGGATGAACTGCAATCATTTTTTCTCCGAAGCGTGGACAAGTTTGGGTGATTTGTGGTCGCTACGTATTTACAAAGAAGACAATTTACTAAAACGAACAAGTCAGATCTAGGAAAAAAATGCAACTGCTTTAAAAAGGTTTTTAGTTGCTTCTTCTGTCGCAGTTTCATGCAGTAATTCTAACCCAGATAATGATAAAGTCACCGCTTCTGAATTCACATTAACATTTACATAACTTTTTCATGTAACACAGATGGTACATAAAAAAGTTGCGTGTGGCGTATTCTTTTTGTAGGAGCCTTTAAGGAAACTATTCTATTTATCAACTCGGTGCAGCCCAGTACTCCAGAACATACATCGAACAAAGTCATCATGTCCCGCATGCGTCGCCTGTCACCAAGAGTAATGAGACCGTATATGCTACATGACTCCCCATAACTATTGGATTCATTTTTGACTCTAAAGTTTAGATATTTTACGATTTTCATTTGTATCCGTTCAATGGCGTGTTCGTGTGTTATGTACTGTGAATTCCACACGGTGCTACAGTACTCAAGAGTACTTTGAACACTAGCATAATATAATACTTTCATGCAAGCAGCGTCCTTGAAATCTTTCGTTACTCTGAAACTAAATCCTAAATCCTGGGGGGCCCCTGAACTGTCACTCCCATTCTTGTTTCCTTGTCTGTATTCCTTGTGTTCGCGGATTTTTAATTTTGTTATGTTAATTTTATTGCTGTTATTGTTTCGTGTCGTCACTGAACCGGTTCCAACGGAAGACCAGCACTGATGGAAACATCAGCAGCACGCTGAGTTGCGACCGTTTTGAGACAAAAAAATTAGATGTGTGTGTTTTGTTTATATATTCTCTTACTGTTGTTTTGTTTCAATAAAATTAGTTTTCTTTCTTTCTTTCTTTCATCTGCTAAAAATTGGATGAGAGGGGCATGATGCATAGCCTCGCTCCTTTTCCAGAAGTGAGCTTGCACAAGTATAGCGAGTAGTCGGCCCTGGCTAGCTATGGTATGTATCGAACCCGTAGTGACGTCTAACGTCGATGATGTATGGAACACCGTGTGGCTAGGCTAATTGGTATACTATAAATGTTACAAATATTTATATGTATCTTGTAAGTCTTGTTAAGTCTAATAAAACAATAAATTGTATTGCTACTTGTGACTTTGAAAATGTTTATTTGTAATATGACATTCATTCAAACAAATAGGTACTGTTATATAATGGTTTGCCTGCTTTTTAAGCTATATGATATGCGATGTTTATGTACACTGTTTTTTATTATTATTATAGAAATTATCTGCATTAATTATTTAGCTTTTACCCTCCTTCTGGCGCAGCCGGGTAAAAAGAGTTTCGCAAAAATCTATCTCCCGGAGCCTCGCAATTCCTGAGGCCGCCCATGCAGAAAAAGAAAACAGAACTTATGTACACTACATCAATACACGTTTTACAAAGATACTTTTTGCATTAGTAATAATAACGCTAGACAAATAAAGAAAACAAACTAATGAGTTGCCTTAGTTGTAACAACAATTAATGTCAAAGTATGTAAATAAATGGTCATATAGGTTGCTAGTTTTTATGTCGTGTGAATTTAAAAAAAAGTAATCATTTAATGATTAAGTACATAAATGTTTGTATGTTTTTGGGATACCTACTGATTGCAGACCCACCAATTGCTCTTTCGCAATGGATAACTCTACCGATCATAATGATTTACGTTCGCAACCTACGTCATCGAATACCAGTAGGAACAAGCGTCCAGGCCATCAAACTAAAAGCCGGCAAAAATACCAAAGAGGAAGAGTCGCTAACATGCGACAAACTAAAGGTGCAGCCGCGATGAACGCACTTCAAGAAGACTTGCGTAATAAGTTGTTTGTTGGAACTGGCGAGATCGACGCACTGGCTAGATTATCGGAACAGCAGACGCTGAAAGCCATTACGATGTCCATTACCACTCGTGGAATAGGCCTTGGAATCTGTCACTTAGCTTATATTTCACTATCAGACCACACCAACATCCAAGTGCCCAACATCTATGCCTTATTTCGTGTCTCCTTAGGGCTGTTAGAAGCCAAATTAGAAAATATCAAGAAAGACATGCCTGTCATTCCCCGCCTGACGGAACAGTGCTACGATTATCAAGTAACAAGTGATATGTTACAAGTAGCTCAATCCGTCACAATTGTACCTGAACCTGTAAAAAGGTGATTGACGCTATTGGGTACCTAACATTCGAAGATAAGGTATATGTGCCAGCCGTAGCTCGCGATATTCATGATAGACCTTGTACGTCAGCATTTCGCTAAGAAGTCATAACAATTTCCATATTATGAACCAACTTCTGGTCAGTCAGACTATTATTTATATTATTTGTAATAGTTTTTTTTTCTGTTTTATTATAGTATTCTTAAGTATAGTGGTAATTATTATTGTATACGTGTAGGTATTTATCGTGTATATAAATATGTTAAATATTTATTTATCGTATTCATCATCAGCCAATTAATGTCCCCATTGATTGGGCCATGACCCACCACGCAGGCCCAGTGCGGATTGGTGGGTGCTAACGACTGCAGGTGCAGCCGGGACCAACGGCTGAACGTGCCTTCCGAAGCACGGAGGAGCTCGAGATAGTAATTTTTGGTCACCCATCCAATGACCGACCACTGCGAAAGTTGCTTAAGTTCAACGATCGCAGCCGAACGCGCTAACCACTTGCGCCAACGAGCTCCTCATTTATCGTATTTATCGTATGATAAATATATAAATATGTTATATATTTGTGGTTATTTAGGTATATTTATAGATATTACATTATAATTATTATATTTTAACCGATCTTCGGCTTTTGAATATTATATAAATGAAGGAGAAGGAAGAAGGCGAATTTGTCAGAAGTTTTTGATTCACACATTAGATATTACGCAGAGATTTATTTTATAAACATTGAATACAATGGTCGATGGGTTTGCGCAAGAGGATATGCGAGGAAAGACAGGGGAATCACAATAAAACGCCTAATGAAGTTCTCAATGATGGACAATTATTTGTCATTACCTCTCCTTCCATCTCATTATTGCAGACGTGATCCTAAAAGGCTTTATCTACCTGAAGAGTTCAAGAACATAACAAAGTACCGAATTTATCAAAATCATTAAATGATTTTTATTAAGATTAGATATTTAGATTACCAAACGATGCAAAAGATTTCTACAGAACCCTGACAAGTAGCAACATAGAAGACGATATTGACGGCTTTACCGGGACTATCGATTTTGAGTTAGAAGGCGACGACAATAATATTGATGGTTAGTTTTAAGGGTTCTTGCTTCCATTGTACCTGTAAGAAAATGATTTAGTAACTAATAAATGGCAAAAAATTATATTTTTTAAAGAATTACTTTTATTTTTAGAAATATCACAACAATGAAATCTTAGCGTAAAATCCATTTTACAAGAAGGAACTAAGCAACAAAATATGTTTTTGCAAGAAAGAACCAACCTGGTTTTTAACAATTTACTTTATACTGGGTGGGCCATCTAGCGTTTTAAATTTGAACTATCTATATTTCGACATTGGAAACGTCAAATACCATTCGGAAAGTGACAGATATTCAGTAAAACGTCTAAAATTTACGAAATGGGTCGCTATTCGCTAGAAGAAAACTGGGAAATATTGAAAACTTTTTTCCAAAGTGGTGAGTCTTCAACCCAAACTGTGAGAAATTTGGCAAAAAAAATGGACAGACAAAAAGTGCCATCAGTTCAATTTGTGCAACAATTTGTCAAGCGTGTGCGTGAAACTGGCTCGTTGGTGGATAAACCAAAACGTCAACGTTCATTTCCCGCGCGTTCAACCGAAAATATTGCGACTGTGGCTGAAAGTGTTAGTGAGAATCCATACACCTCAACTCGCCGTCGATCGCAAGAATTGAACATTCCACGAACAACTTTGCGACGAATTTTGCAAAAAGACCTCGCTATGAAACCATATAAAGTTCAATTGGTGCAGCAGCTGAAGCCACTTGACCATACGAGCCGTCTACAGTTCGCAGATTGGGCGGAAGATCGTTTGACCGAGGATGGTCAATTTTACCGAAAAATCATCTTTTCGGACGAGGCTCATTTCCACCTCGGTGGTTACGTTAACAAGCAGAATTGTCGCATTTGGGGCACAGAAAACCCGCACGTAATCGTTGAGAAGCCAATGCACCCAGCACGAGTCACTGTATGGTGCGGATTTTGGTCTGGTGGAATCATCGGCCCATTTTTCTTCGAAAATGAAGAAGGAACCGCCGTAACCATCAATGGTGAGCGATATCGCGCAATGTTATCCAAATTTTTCTTCAAGCAAATTGAAGAGGAAGACTTGGACAACATTTGGTTCCAGCAGGACGGCGCTACGTGCCATACAGCAAACGCTACACTCAATCTTTTACGCCCTATCTTCGAAAATCGCATAATCAGCAAAAGAGGTGATGTGAATTGGCCTCCCAGAAGCTGCGATTTAACTCCGTTGGACTATTTTCTGTGGGGAGCTGTTAAAGGTAAATGTTACGCCAACCATCCAGAAACAATTCAAGATCTAAAGTACGAGATTCAAGCTGCTGTTGCTGCCATAAGGCCTGAAACCATCGAGAAAGTACTCCAAAATTGGGTGGATCGGATAAGCTACTGTAAACTCAGCCGTGGTGGTCATTTGTCCGAAATTGTTTTCCACAAATGAATTTCATAAAACAACCTTTCAAATAAATGTTAGACCTTTGAAAAATATCGCGCCGTTTTTTTTTTATTGACTTTTTAAGTTTAAAATTTTACATGGCCCACCCGTTATAACTTCATAAAACTATAAATCTGATATTCCTAGATAGGCTACAGTAGTCCTCATTAGGTTAACAAGTATTCATTTATTAATGTACTATTATATATAGTTTTAATTTTGCACACTCTGTTTACAAAAGTTTCGTTTTCTCGAAACCAATCTGCTGTGGGTTGGTCTTTGTTTGCAAAAATGGGTCCATTTTTCTGATGGAAGAAAAATTACGTCATTCAAAGTGTTTTCGACATGGTTCAAAAAACCTTTTAACGTGGGATTTCACATACCTAAGAAAGACAAGTGCGCACTGTGTCTTGCTGCAAAAAGTTTCGATGTTTTAAATGAAGAGCAGATGGAAAAACTAAAAAAAACATGAAGAAGAAAAAGAAGAATCATACAAAAGGTTTAAATTTCACCAAAACTTGTACGCAGTCGATAAAACTGTAGTTTGCGCCAGTTTCGACTTGCAAAAGGTGTTAAACACACCACACGGAGACAGCATGATTCTTTACTACAGTCGCAAAATCGCCGTGTACAACTTTACTATATATGAAAGTGGAACACATAAAGGCTTCTGCCACATATGGTCTGAAATCGATGGCCATAGAGGAGCAAATGAAATTGCTACATGCGTGTTTAATTATATCAGAAGCCTTGATCAACGTGGCGACATAAAGAAAATTATATTTTATTGTGATTCTGCGTATGGACAAAACAAGAATAAAACTGTTTTAGCCATGTTACGGTATGCACTACATACCAGCGCAAATCTAGAATCAATCCAGATTAATTATCTGATTCCGGGCCACACATATATGCCGGTAGATAGTATGCATGCTACTATTGAAACGTCAATAAAAAAGACCATCATATGGGCGCCTTCACAATGGCCTACTATTATAGAATATGCTCGAAAAAATCCAGAATCTTATCATGTGAATGTGCTTAATGGTGTAGACTTTCTAGGTTTCGAAAACATTGTAGAGCACACGTTCAAAAAAAACCAAAAATTACAAATATCTAAGATTGCTACTGCTACAATAAAAAAAAAACAATATAGATAAAATATCCGTTAAATATTCAATGTTGCTAAATGCTGAAACATCAGAAATTACTGTTAGTAATTTAAGCGGCGTTTCTTTAAAAACAGCTTTTTATCCCTCTCAATTACCGATTTGTACAAAAAATATAATAATTTAAAACAACTGGTTGAAAAACAAGCTATTCCTAAAAGATTTGCAAATGAGTACTTAAATTTGAAAAACAGCTCTAAAGTAGCTGACTGTTTACCGGCCACAGACGAAGAAGATAATATTATTTAACTTTTTGCTTTTTAAAATACGAATAATGTATATGTATATTCCTTAAAACAGAGGTCCAATTAAAAATAAACTCATGTTCTCAGATGTCACATTATAAGGTTCTTGTCTTTTTGTCGATTTTGATGAAGATTATTTAATTTTAAATTAATAATTATTATGCCCATTTTTATAACTGTATTTATGTTGTTTAGAAGAAGAGTTTGTTTTTTATTGTTTTTATAACGATTTTTATAGTGTTCGGAAGACTGATTAATTTTAACTTTGTTAAAACCATTTAATGGTGTACTATGTGAATCAATACTATGTTAACTATTATCATTTTATTAAGCATTATGTTTGATTTTAAAGTTCATTTAATTTTCTTAACTTACTACATACTTACTATTGGATAGAGCCAACTAATTACCGCTTAGTTTATGTGGCCAAAACATCTATTCTAATAAACTTTTTTAAATTCTGCAATTTTGTTTTCATTTGTAATTAAAGCACTGTCTTTCGCTTATAATTATTTATAGTCTCACAATTACATCGCAATCGATGTATAAGATTATTATAAACAAATCATTTACGACGATATCCATGATAATAAAATAGTTTTAAACTTATTTACCAGCATTTTACAGGTTCAATAGGAAGAAGTGAAATCAGTTACACCGTTTTTACATTCTTGAGAAAAGGCAGGTTTTGAACTCGTCTTACATTTTGGTCCGTAGTTACAACATTGTTACTGCCTCTAAAAAATACATCAAATGATGTAACTGACATAAAGTATCTTATAAAACAACTTTGGATAGAATTCATGCACATTCATAGATTCTTCCACTTAATTTCGATTTACTGTCCAAATATCACTTAACAAGGACCTATAAACCCTGAAATATGTTTTTTTTTAAATCAGGAAAGTTTTTTGGCTCTGGTAAACAATTTAGTTTTAGTTAGTTACTACGTTTCCGTTTCCTTGCGTCGATATATAAGGGGCCCGGTATGAGAAAAATGTGAGGAGTAAAATCTATCGATGAATGACCTCGTTACGTTTTTGGTGCGCATCCTATGTGGCGCAACTTTGACAAACAAAGATGACGGATTGACATTAATATTTTTTTTTAAATCTGAACTGAATTTAGATATTATTTCTGATAAAGCAATGGGGACAACGAGGTATGGTACAACCATTGATGCGGTATTTTCAAGATTCGTGAACCACGTATCTACGAACGTCCATGTGTCTTATTTTAGTTACCATAAACCACTTGCCACTGTAATTAATAATGCAGACAATGTTGATTTAATTAATATTTAAAAAAATGATAATAGTCTGATAACAATAATTACATAATTTATCAACATTCCTAATGATATCATTATATATTTATGCACATCTGAAATTGACTATTGTAAAAAGTTTAATGTAAAATATTTCGTCGATTAGTTATAATAAATGTATATGAAATTAATAAATATATATTTATATATGTATATTTTTTTTAATTTGTCCTTTCATACAGTATCAATCTTATTTAAGTTAAATAATATCGATCTAATGGCTTAGAAAAAGCCATGTCCAAGTTATTGAAGGTGGTCTATGTTAAGCCACAATACGGGCAACGCATTTGGTATGACGTATTTAATAAAATGTTAAGGACTTTTCCGTCAATAGCTGCACAATATAGTTCACAACTTACGTATATTATGACCTTGTGAGGTTTTGCCTTGCAGTTGCAAATTAGATATATGATTTTCAATTAATTCTTTTTCTGCTAGAATTAATTCTTTGTTCTCCATCCTATATTGAATAGGAATAGGTCTGCAGTATCTATGTGATTGTGAAGCTGGATTAGATCAAACAACATTATTCAACACGAGCTGCAGCGGAACAAATGTAGTAGCAAAAAGATTATTTTCATCGTCACTCCACAATATTGTATAATTATTCACGCAATATGCAACAAATAAAACTGCCAATTTTGAGTCGGTAAATCCTTATAATACATAAATATTTTGTAATAAAAACTATCTAAAGTCTTATTAGTTACATACTTATAAGTTATATTCTCTTTATTCTCCAATAACAATAAATAGGTCATATAATATATGTTAAAAGAATGCTTATTAACATATATTATAGGAACTCATTTTATTTTTAAATACTCAGTTCCAGTGACAGTGACAACCCTACTACCGGAATTATGTTTAATTAATATTTTTGTTTATAACTCGTACATAACGAGGTTTTCGGTTGCATTAAAAATACTCTACATAGGGACAACAAACTTCAATATTTTCATGTATAAATATTATCCGAATACGCCGTTATTCTTAAGAAAAAAAATTAAATCGAAAATAAAAAAAAAGGTCATATGGTCTATACGGTTTGCTTTAGAAGGCTCAAATTTTGTGAAAAGGTGTATAATATAAAGCTTTATATAAACCTTTAACCAAAACTAAAACAATATGAACAATAGAGGAGCTAGATGATTTTTTTTTTAAATTCCTAGTTCTAAAATAGGTTAACTTTGATTTTTTTTTCTCGAAAACTACGAGGCCTAGTAATTTTTCAGTATTTTTCCAGTGTTAATAATAGCTTAATTTATAGGAATTCGGGATAAAAAGGGCATGTCACAAAATCGAGGTTCTTAAAACACTGTGGAGCGTACCGTGACCGTGAGGCGTTTCACAGAAACTCATCGATACCAGGAGCCATTTGGCGAAATTAATTACTTCAGAATGGTGATGAGATTATACCAGCAGATTACGAGCTCAGTTTTTAGTCGAGTTAGTGTAATAATTAATAATTGTTACTCATTTTAGATATACAGGGTGTTACAGAATTCCGAAATAAAATTTGTAGGTATGTATTTCGAAATAAAAATTTGTAGGTATCTGAGCGGGGCGCAGGGGCGCCTGGGGGAGAGAGGGGGATCTGTTTAGGTAGTTCTAATCGTACTGTTAGAACGAGTCCCGGGGTTGAGGTTTTAAAAAAAATGAAACAATGTTAAGTTGGATTAATTGGCACACAACCGTCACGAACAGTGGCTAGAATGGGACTAACTGCTGGCCGATGTCGCAATAGCGACGCTGGTCTGAAATGCTGATGCGGCAGCATCAGTTATTACTGTAAGCTATTTCATGAGCATTTCAGGGGTGTAACATCTCCCCCCTAATGGAAATAAACTTAGGGGCAAATCCCCTAAGTTTATGAAACAAGGGAAAACTGGAAGTTAAATATTTATTCTGATTTTAGCTGGCGAGCTGCCTTTCTTAGAGGTCTCTGGTTTAAGGTCAGGGTCTGTTTGTATGTCCGTGGGATTTCGAGGTTTTCGATTCGGTTGGTTGAGGTTAACTAGGGGAATATCTACTTGTTCATGTTTGTGAGGATTGTTGCCTTTATTTATTTTTTTATAAAGTTTTAATAAAATAATAATTATTGTAATTATAATAATAACTATAGTTAAAATAGAGTAATGTGGTCCGTATTTTACAATATGTGGTTCTTGTATGATTTTATCTAATTCTGATATTTCTCTTTTGTTAATGCTATTCTTAAAGTCAATTTGATCTAGATCTAGGTTTTCGAGCTGAATTTTAGGAACATCATTTGAAATTTCGTTAAATTTGGATACACTACAACATGGCTCATTTATTAAGTTAAAATTTAAACTATGGGAAGATGAGCTTACGTTCATGACATTATATTTAGGTATAAGTTGTATGTTTTTACAATATGCTTTACAAAGTACGGGAATTTCTATAATTCCAGTGCCAAGGAGGGTTTCCTCTGACAGGGTAGAGTTAATACAATCAATAGTTAATTTTTTAGGACTAGATAGGACATATATCCATCTATTGTTACGGAGGGATTTCCAAACATTTACATTTCCATTAATAAACTCGGTTTTACACTGGTTTGGAAGGCCCGTTACGACCTTTGACAAGAGTTCGCTTTCACAATTCGGATTTTCACTAGTGGGATATACATTAGTAGTTTCACAAATATAGTCTTGATGGATAGTATTCTTACACATTTCCAAAGAATCCGGGTTACTGTAATGCATTTTGTCTTTTGTTATCATGATATACTTATGACTAGGTATTATAACACTAAATGAGTCTGGTCTTGTAGAATTATGAGGAACAGGTAATGGTACATTTTGATACAAATAAAACTGTTGTGGGTTTACTAATGGAATTTGTAATACAAACACTATCTTATTACTAATATAATAACAAATTACTTTACTTAAGCTCATAATTATGTGTATATGGTTAATATCTAAAGCTATGGCGAGCTCCAAACCATTGGGTAAATGTCTGTAGCTATCAGCGAGATCATCGAAAAGTTTTCGTGGTGTTATTACAGAGGGATGGATGATGTTAGCGTTACTGAATAATATTGAATTAGTGATGTCCTCAAGTTGGAAGGATAGGGTAAGCAGGGATGATTCTAAATTATTGAAGACTACATTTATATCGGAAGTTAATTGCAACCGATTTGTAATATCTGATAGGTTTTTCAGGTTTATAGAGATCTTTTCGATAGCTAGGTTTACCTTTTCTTCGTTCAGTTTTACTTAAAATATGTTTCATTAAATTTAGACAATACGGATGTGGTGACTAATATATTTTCTTTCATGAATGAAGCTAATTTTTTCTGGTCAGATTGTACATGTTCGATAGCATTGTTATATTTAATCGCGTCATCTTCGTCCAAGGTGCCGAAGATTTGTTTCATCGCGGTTCCAATTCCACCAATCCATGCACCACGCTTAGTTCTATTATCAATGAGATGAGTCATGGAAGCATATTCCTCTATAATATCCCTGAATCTAACTGAGAACGGTTGTAGCACATTGTGACATTCTGAATTACCGAGGGGTTCTATTGTGCCACAGATGTATTTCATTTTGTCAAGCACTAAATTTATATTTCGAATATGGGGTTTAATGTATGAAATATCTACAGGAGTTAAAACACTCAGGTGACCATTTAATATTTTGGTTCTGCCAATATAATCAAAATAAATACCGGAACCTGAAGGAACGGGCTTAATAAGGCTCGACATCGCAGAGGCCAATTCACTGCAATGACAATGAGAATAGAAATAATGATTAATAACTAATAAATACAAGTAATAGAGGTAGTAAAATGGTTCGCTCTTATTTTACTATTTATTCTGAAGAATATTCTTAACTTAAACAACATAACATAATAACCTAATAATTTTTATGATAGAATTATAACCTTAACCTAACACATATAATATTAAGGAGAGCTGGGAAAGACGCCAGCTAATTTCACTTCGTCATAGTGATGCCTGACGTGTCGTCTGTTGATGAGAAGAGTCAACGTATTATTTCCGTTTATTGCTATCACCTTGTAGGGTCCCTTCCAAATAGGAGATAACGCTTTTCTGAGTCTTAAATGATTTTTGAGGTAGACGTAGTCGCCTACTTTATATTGGACTGGTTTGGATTTGTTATCATAGTAAGTTTTAGATCTTTCTTTGGACTGGCGGATATTTTCAGAGGCTTTTTCCCAGGATAGCTTAAGACGGTGTTGGAGCATCCTTACGTAGTCGGGGTAAGTAGTAGTATCTTGATTATGGATGGAGTCCGGAATAAAGGCTTTATGCCCAAATAGGAGTTCGTAGGGTGTGAAATTTGTGGTGCAATGCACAGCTGTATTATAAGCGAGAATAGCGGTGTAGACGTAACAGGGCCAGTCATCCTGGTCGACATTTACGTATGACTTTAGATATTCTTTGAGGGTGGAGTGGCTGCGCTCAAGGGCGCCTTGAGTTTGGGGATGGTAAGGACTTGACCATAAGTGCTTTATTTTCAAGAAGCTGCAGGTCGTTTTGAAGAGTTCAGCGGTAAAGTTTGTTCCTTGATCGATGACGATGGTTTTGGGAATTCCAAACAAGGATATGAAATGGACGAGGCAGTCCGTTGTTTCTTCTGAGGAAACGCTGCGAAGAGGATAAGCTGCTGAGAATTTGGTGAGGTCATCCTGAAGAGTCATTATGAATTTTAATTTGGCAGGGCCGGACTCTGGTAGAGGACCGACTATATCAAGAGATATCCTTTGAAAGGGGCTGGTAGAAGTAGTAGTTATCTGCATGGGTGCCTTATTGATTCTCCTTAAAGCCTTATTTTCCTGGCAGGCTGAACATGATTTGACGTAATTTTCTACGTCCGTTTTCATACCTTTCCAGTAGTAATGCTCTTGTATACGATTTAGCATTCGATTGGTACCTAAGTGACCAGCGATTGGTAGGTCGTGATTTTCCCTAAGGATCCTTTTGCGTTCCTTAAGGTCTGGATACATTATGCTGTTGTGATAGATATTAATTGCTATATGAGTGTCGTGGAAAAGATAAACAAGAATGTTATAGATTTTAGCAAAGGATTGTTTCTCAAAGGGATTTCTAAAGTCAGAAATGGCTAATTCGGTGATTGTGCCATCCTGCAGGATATGCTTTCTTATGTTACTGAGGGTTTTGAATATTTCTGCATACGGACAGTTATCAAAGTGATGTACTTTGGTAAAGATGAAATAAATACTTTTATTGGTATTGGGTACCTTTTCGAAGGAATGTAGTTGCTTCTCTGAATACAGTGTATTGTCGGAGTTGTCAAGGTTTTCCAGGATCTCGGGTAAGTATGCATTGGATTCGTCTAAATCAATGGATGTAGGAACGAGAATGGTCTTGCAATGAGTTTTCATTAGTGACTCATTATGTTCGATGACGGATGTGTTGAAAGCTTTGTTCTTGTCATTAATTTCTTTTAGGAAGGTCGAATAGTCATTTGTCGTAGATAGATTATTTGGATTTGAGTCGTAGGATTGTAGGGTTGGTGATATAGTAGGTTCGAGTTCGGAATGTGAGGGATTCAGCGTGATTTGGTTTTCAGGATTCAGCAGAGGAGATGCTGTTGAGGGAGTTGGTAGAGGTAAATCGTTATTGGTTACAGGTACAGAGGTCTCAGGATACGGTGAACAAGGCTGTTCAGGTGAGTTTCTTTGAGTTTCAGGATTTGGGATAGTGGTTCCTTGGCTAATGGGTGCCAAGGGATCATCGGATTTAGGAGATTCTTCTTGTCTGGATTTAGTAGGATCGGAGGGGCTATGGTCGGATGGGAAGTCAGTGTCGTCTAATAAGTCTATGCAGGGTAGACTGCTGCTGTCGCATTCAGGGGTTACAGGGAGACTGACGCCTAGGTCGTCAAGAGTTAAAGGACTGAAGGAGGGATTTCCTCCGTTGTCATCGACACTAACAGAGTGAGGGGTTTCCTCATCGGGTTGGTTTGGGATAATCGGGTTCACAGGGTAACGAGAGAGGGCGTCTGCGGCCGAATTGAGTTTGCCTTTCCTATAGACGATCTCGTACTCGTATTCTTCGAGCTTGAGACGCCAACGCTGCAGTTTGCTACTTGGGTCAGTGTGGTTGAAGAGCCATTTGAGTGGCTGATGATCCGTAACGATTTGGAATTTCCTTCCGTACAGGTAGGGCCGAAATGTTTTGCAACCGAATATTATAGCGAGGAGTTCTTTTTCTGTTGTGCTGTAATTGGATTCACTCTTATTGAGTGTTCGAGAAGCATAGGCTATATATAGGCTGATCTTTGCCAATCGAGCCTTGGGACAGAACAGCACCAATGGCATAATTGGAGCCGTCACATGTGAGTATAAAAAGTTTGGAGAAATCGGGGTAGGCTAGGACGGGAGCGGAGGTAAGTTTTTGTTTGAGGAGGTTGAATGCTACTTGTTGTTGGTTTTCCCATCTAAACGGGATATCCTTTTTCAGGAGGGACGTCAGAGGTTTGGCAAGTTTGGAAAATTCTGGAATGAATCGGCGATAGTAGGAGACAAGTCCAAGGAAGGATTTTATGTCCTTGGGGGTTTTGGGAGTAGGGAATTCAATTACGCAATTGATTTTATCAGGATTAGGTTTTACTCCATCTGTTGAGA